AGACAGAGAGATAGAAAGTGAGAAATCACCCCCCCAAGGAGAAATGGCCATGCCGCAATCCCTTCTCCTCCATGCTCCTCTCTGGATCTTAGGCACGCATGCACATGTGCCAGGAGTGAGTTTAAGCTGCTGAGTCTGGGACTTGACCCGCAGTCGACTACATGGGAGTCCAGTAACATAGCCATTATGTTAACTGCTGGTTCCGTGTAAAATTTGTTAAAAATACTGTATTATAGGTTTTAAATAAAGTTTAAAGGCAAAGTGTGTAAGAAAATTGGTGTGGGGACTGGTAAGTGGCGTGGTGGTTAAAGGTGCTCGACTCCCACATGGTCGACCATGGTTCAAATCCTGGGCATGGTGGCTTGCTTTCTCATTTTCTCTCCCTCTCTTTCTCTTTCTCACTCTATCCCTCTCTGGTCAAATTAAAATAAATGAATAAATAAATAATTATCTCTCTCACTCTGTCCCTCTCCCATCAAATTAAAATAAACAATAAATAAATAAATAGAGTTAAATAAATACATCTTTAAAAAAAGATAATTGATGTGTTTGTTGGCATATTATAGAGGTATTAAAGCAAGTATTATATAGTAAAATAAAGTAAATATACATTGGATAAGTGAGTGAATGTACCTTTGTATAATTATTTATTTATTTTTGGAGAAGTTTTTGCTATAGGGCACATGCACTCGCCAGAAAGACAGAGAGAGACAGAAAGTGAGAAATCGCCCCCCAGGGGGGATGGCAATGCTGCAATCCCTTCTCCTCCATTCTCCTCTCGGGATCTTGGGCACGCACGCACATGCGCCTGGCGTGAGTTTAAGCCACCCGGTCCAGGACTTGAACCGCGGTCGACGATGTGGGAGTCCAGCAACATAGCCATTACGCTAACTGCTGGTCCCTGTATAATTATTATTAACAAATGGCATAATCTGTGGATTAAGAAAAAGCACAAAAACTTAAATAAAAAATTATTAAAAATTGAGAATATCTGCCAAATATATTAATTCAAAATTGATAATTTCCCAAATACTAGCCAATATTTATAGAAAAAATTTCAAAACATTATTGATTTAAAATAAAATGGAATGAATAAATAGAAAAACATACACTCAGATGGGACTACTAGATGAATATTGTGAAGGTATCAGTTCTACCCAATTTAATTTACTTAATTCTGAATATTTTGGGGAACCCAACAAAACAAGCCTTAAATCATTTTAGAATTTTTACACAATTGATTTTCAGTCACTCAAAACTTCTATGAAGGTGAGAAAATGGGAACAGAGGGACCAGCAGATGTGGTAATGGTCATCTTGCTGGCCCCTCATGTTGTTGACCAAGGTTTGATTCCTCGACCTGGTGTCTTGAAACTCAAGCTGGGCACAGATGTGTGTGTGTGCACAAGATCTGGAGAGGAGAATAGAGGAGAAGGGACTATGGCATGGCCATTCCACCTGGGGGGTGGTTTCTCACGTTCTATCTTTCTGTCTCTCCAGCAAACCCATGCACCCTATAGAAAAAAATCTCTCAATTAAAAAGAAAAAAGGGAACAGACATATAGTAGGGCCTTTAACGATTACAATTTCAGAAAAAATAAAATGAAATGGTGCTAATTAAATAGACTATATGTATGCAACAAACAGATATCAAGTATATGATAATTTAGAAGAACATATAAACTATTTTAAAGGAGAATTTTAAAATAAACACATATCAAATACTATTTGCAGATATTGACTTATTTCCTGATAGAAAACACAGATGTAGGGAACGAGTAGATGGTGGAATGGTTACATCGCTGGACTTCCATGTAGTCAACTGTGGTTGGAGTCCTGGACCTGGAGGCTTAAAACATACTGGGCATGTGGGGAGAATGGAAGAGAACAGACTGTGGCATGACCATCCCCCCTGGGAGGTGATTTTTCACTTTCTGTCTCTCTGGCTCTCTCTGTGTCTCTGGAGAGCTCATACTCCCTATAGCAAAAAATCTCTCTTAAAAAAACACAAATGGATCATGTTGTTGTTAAACACTAGAAAAAACTGTTGGGAAGGGTTAAGAGATATTTTATTAGTAATCTCTGGTTACTAAAACTTGGAAATATTTGATGTGCAATTATCGTATGTATGTGGTCAGAGTGTACCACAGCTTCTTATCTTGCTGGGAGTCAGTTTCATAGGTGATCCAGGTAAGAATTAAACACACTAATACATTAGAATGCTGAAATTAATTTGCATGGGACTTAAGCACTCTTCACAGAATACAGTTTCTTGTGGATATCGATTGTAGTTCTATAGTGAAAAGTCCATAAACTGAGTTGGAAGACTGAAGCTAAATACCATTCTGGCACTAAAAAGCCATATAAATTTGGGATGCATCTTTTCCTCTTCAGGATCTAATTACTTCTCTAATAAAATGAGGGGCTAGATACAATCTTCTCGCAGGTGCTTTCCAGGTCCGATCTTTCTTCCTCCAGTGTGTCGCTGTGAGTGATCAAACATGGTCAGGGAGGTGTGGAGAACTGTGGACACTTTATTTTCCCACTAGCACTTGAGCCCATAACAGCTTAAGGGACTTCCTGGATGCAGCCACATATTACTCAGGCCAGGAAGGTAGCAGGGGTGAAGTCGACGATAGACAGGGCATGCAAGACCCCCACTACTGGTCTCTCATCCTTTACACCCCACCCGCAGAGAACTCTCTCAGACAGGTAAGGTGGAGTGTCAGACACTCTGATTCTGGGACCTAAGGTATCCAGCCCCTAATTTAGAAATCCAGAGTGATACTACATTTCAATCTGAGAAAGAAAAGGCTATGTCTTTTTAACTATCAGTCTTTATTTATTTATTAGTTTTTCCCCTCCATTCTTACCTTCCCAGTTCTTTATTTTTTATCTGCAGCTTTTGGTCTCCAAAATTCCACCATATGCCTTTGCACATAACTTTCTCAGAAGAAATAATTTCAGGTTACACCTGTATTGTGAACAAAGGACCGCAGACATTTCTCAGAAAAATCTGATAAACAAGGGATGTGTAAGAAGATCCTGGATTTTCTGGAAAAAGCTTCGCAGGACCTGATTTAGTGTTAAAAGGCTCTAAATCAAATGTCCATATATTGCATAAAGAGGCAAATATGTTTAGGAAGAGAGTACAGGAAGAGAAAACAAAGAGATCCTAAAGATGAAGATAAAATTATGTCAGGAGCAGAAAAGGTAGAGAAGTCCTGTGTGCAGATTAATGACCAGATGTAAGAGTGTAGAGTGAGTTTTGAAACTCAGAACTGTGAAAACTTGCTCATGAAAGTTTTCAGAACTATTTGATTTTGGCCTTTCACAATCCTATTAGGTAATTTTCTTATTAACTTCAATTTGTAACAAAGGGACCAAAACACAGAAAGTGATAAATATCCTACTTAGTACCTCTCCTGCTCTCCTAAGCATAAAATCTAATGACCAGATGGGGCCAACAGGTGGCGTGGTGGTGAAGGCACTGGACTCATGTGGCTGACAGCAGTTGGAGTCCTGAACCTGGTGACTTGCTTTCTCACTTTCTCTCTCTCTCGCCCTGTTTCTGGTGAGTGCACAGGCCCTATAACAAATTTTAAAATATTATTAATAAATAAACAAATAATTCTTTTTAAAAATCCCTAAAACTAATGTCCAGGTAAGTGTTCATGGATGAGATCATTTTGGGCCTAAGTCCTGGAAGAGTGATTAAGTGGGTGTTTTCATATACTCTGGGAAGCCTCTGGGAAATGGGGAACTGCAGGTCAAGCTAATAAGTGCAAATAGACTGATCTAGGTATATGACGTCTAACGGACAGATTTTGATAATTAATGCTGGACCCACTGATTCAGTGCTGACCAGACAGTGTGTTAATTTGAAGCTCATCAGTTTGGATTTGATAGAGTGATAAGAAAGGATAATTTAAGTCGTCTTATCAGAAGAGCACATTTTCATGTATGCCTCCTAAAAATGCTGGTCCTACTTAAGATTAGAAATGAATTAGAGAGAAGTAAGAGACTTTTGAGGAGATTATTATTATGGTATACTTATACTAATGTGATTGATACCTTGGTGTGAAAGTATAATACTGCAGATTAGATGAAACAGAGAGAGGTGCTAGCAGAGTCACTAAGAATTTATATTTTTACCAGTTACAACCTGGATTTGTGTAGTAGGTAAAGAAAAAAATGGAAGCAAAGTGACATTTTAATTTTGAGCCTCCATCTTGGACATAATGATGATAACATTGAAACAGATAACACAGAAGAGAATCAATCTCAGGGAATAGGAAAACGATTATTAATCCTGTGACTTTCAGTAGCTAGGAACTATTTGTTTCTGTAAGAAATAATGTTCAGTTAAATAACCTATTCAGGAAGAGAAGAGTTATGATGAGCTAAATAGGAGAAAGGTGGGTGAAAGTAAAATCTAATGCATCTTGATGAATATCTCTATAAATGAATATCTTTCTGTTCATTTATCTTTTCTCTGCACAAACATGGATGGGAAAAATGAGAGACTATACAGGAATAGGGAATTTAGAAGTCATTACAAAGCAGTGGAGGTTTAATTGCACTAAAAGCTGGAAAGAGGAAACTGTTATAATTCAATGAATAAGTGATACACTCAACAAAAAGGTCCAATAATTGAGAAATAATGATCAGAAGAGCTCTGTCTAGGTCTTGAACAAAGTGATACACATAGATTGAAAGAGATAAAGTCATAGCTTCAAATGAGAGAAATAGCAAGGTGACAATAAGCACAGGTGTAAAGGACAGTGTGACCTGTCTTGCCAACTGAGAAAACTTCAGAACATTTTCAGAAAATTTGGTAACATAAGACATATGGGTGAGCGATTTAGTGAACATAACTGATTAATTATTTAAGGTATTAGTTTGTGTATGAGTTTTAAAAATATTAGGTTGAAACCATGCATGAAATTGTGTATTTGTCTCCCTTTATAGTGGAACCAGAATCTAAGCAGAGTCCACAACATGGGAGGTGACTACTACAACGGGTCAGGGTTGCCTCCTTTTACCTTGACAGGCCTCCCAGGGCTGGAGAACTACCAACACTGGATGTTTTTGCTGCTTGGCACTTTCTACCTTGTCTCCATTGTGGGTAATGCCCTTATCCTTTTTATTATCAAGGAAGAACAGAGCTTGCATCAGCCTATGTACTACTTCCTATCTCTGTTATCAACAAACGACCTAGGTGTGTCTTTCTCCACATTGCCCACAGTTCTGGCCACATTTTGCTTCCACTTAAGGGAAGTCAGTTTTAATTCTTGCATGGCTCAGATGTTCTTTATCCATCTCTTTTCCATAATGGAGTCTGGGATCCTTCTGGCCATGAGCTTTGACCGCTATGTGGCCATATGTGACCCACTGCGCTATGCCACAGTGCTTACTGATGCCCGCATAGTTCAGATGGGCATGTCTGTTATTATCCGCAGTTTCTGCATGATTTTTCCTTTGCCTTTTCTTCTGAAGAGGTTACCCTTCTGCAAAGCCAATGTGCTCTCCCATGCCTACTGCCTACATCCAGACCTGATTCGTTTGCCCTGTGGTGACATTACCATTAATAATATTTTTGGCCTTTTTACTGTCATCTCTACCTTTGGCCTGGATTCTGCCCTCATTCTCCTCTCCTATGTGTTCATACTGCGCTCTGTACTTGCCATCGCCTCCCGAGAGGAACGGTTAAAGACACTCAACACGTGTGTGTCACACATCTGTGCAGTGCTCATCTTCTACGTGCCCATGGTCGGTGTGTCCATGGTTGCTCGCTATGGGAAGCATGCCCCACGATATGTGCACACACTCATGTCCCTTGTCTATCTCTTTGTGCCACCAATGCTCAACCCTCTTATCTATTCTATCAAAACCAAGGAGATTCGTCGGAGGCTTTGCAAAATTCTCCTCGGAACCAAGTTTTGAGCAAGAGACATATTGAAAAATCAATACTCAGTGGATGTTTACATGTACTCTTCAATTGAAAAATCAATACTCAGTGGATGTTTACACTTACTCTTCGAATTTGAGTTTTTATGACCTTGTGGAACAAGAAATCTTTCAGATCCTTTTGAACACTGACCTAGCATTAGGATTTCTGCCATCATGTGTTTGATAACAACCTGGTAATATTTAAGACTTAAGTCACTATGTTTTGCTGAAGTAAACTGGGCCATAATTTAACAGACTATATTTGCTAACTTTCATCTTTTAAAATAAAAATGTAAATCCTCATCATAAATCTTTCTTTATATCACACTATGTTGCTACTATCCTTGTTTAAAGTAAATGATCGTAAAGAAAATTACTTATTTTCATGGAAACATTGCCATATATGAAGTGATTTTTTTCCCCAAAGATAATGCCAAAGAGATTTTACTTAATATCAGATGGATATACCCATAGTTATTAGTTATGCTGTTGATATTTATTTCATATTAAATACACTATCCATCTTTTCTTCAAATGAGATAAATGTAGTGGTATGTAAATTTATTCACACAATCTACGAATTTTTTCAGTTCAATGTTTTTATTTTTCTTTAAAAAATATATATGTATTTATTATTTACGTTTAATTACTATACATCTTTATAGTGTAAAACATGATTACTCTCAGGATAAATACAGTGCATGTCAGTAACAAAAAACACATTGCCATATTCATTATCATGTTTAATGATGCCTGATACGGGATTCAAACTGTGCTTGACCATGTGGGAGATCAACTCCTTAACAATATACCACCTGCTAGCCCCTAGAGTCTAATTTCTGTGAAACTAAAAGTTGGTAGATCATGTATTATAATTTATGTTGTATGCACAGTAACAAGGAAATAATAAAGTAGGAAGATTACTCAAGATAACATGAAATACATACAATGATGTATTCTTCCCAAATCATAGTCCCTCAAGATTTGGAGAACTTTTTTATTAAAAAAACAAAGAAGTTACAAAATTAATCATTTATTTTAAAATGTAATAAAAGAATAAAATACTTTATGAAGTAATTAAAAATAGTTAAAGAACTAAATGAATGTGAATTTAAAAAATGAAATGTAACCAAGTGGAAAATAAAATTTATAAATCATATATATTATCAGGTTAGGGAGATTTTCAAAGTTTAAATGTTGTATAAGTAATTAAAATCTGGATTAAACTGTACATTTGGAAAAAATTACAAATGTAAACAACTAATAAATTAAATGATAGTAGTGGGAGAAATGGTAGTTATCATTTATAGTGTCACCCATGTCCAAAACTTTATAATACAAGATCCTTTTCTTTATTTCGTTCCCCAAATTTTAAAAAACAAGATTTCTTATATCCTGTCTCTTAAATCATGCAAAAAATGGTAAATCCATTTACAGGTGCAAATGCAATGCTGATAAAACAATACTGAAAAAATGATCTCTGCAAAAATCTTCTGACAGAACACACTATTAAAAACATATGAGTAGGGGCCAGCACAGTGTGTGGAGCTTGAGCTGCTGGATCCCCAAATGGTTGACCGTGGATCGAATCCCAGACCTTGTAGCTTGATTATTCACTTTCTTTTTCTCTGTCTCTCTTTCTTTCTCTCTGATCAAATTAAAAAGAATAATAACAAATAAATAAATAATTCATTAAAAAAACACGAGTAAGTACTAAACATTGTGAATATAACTAAAGGATACAGGAAAGAATTATCTATGTATCTATAGACTAAGATTAAAAAATTACACATCATCAGAAGATCCTCAATTTATCATATTAATAAGTGAAACAATAAAAAACATTTGTAAGCAACAGTATATTCCAGAAAAGATATTTCATGAAACAAAACATCTATATCTTACAAACAGTTAAAATGATATTTTTATGCTTTCCAAGTTTATTGGAACATATACTTTTTGGTTAAAATAAGAGGAAAATTATTTTGTCATTTTAATCCCATCATTATTTACTATTTAGGAGGAAGAATCTTCAACCAGTGTAATGAAACTCAAGACAAAAATAAGTGATTTCATATTATCCATTCATTTGTAATTATATACTAACTCTACCGACTCAAACTAGAGTTTGACTATTAATTTTCTGCCTCTACATCACCACCATTGCTACCTTATTTTGGATTTTCATTGTCACCTTTTATTTCACACTGGCAGTGTGTTCCAAAGTGATCTCATTATTTACCATTGTTTTCGCTCATTTTTTCATGCCATAGCTATAATAATCTTTCTAAAGAGTCTACTTGATTAGAAATGTTTATAGCTTTGTATTCTTGTATTGTCTAATGGTAAAACCCCAAACTCTGAGCATATATTTTAATAATACTACCACTGCAAGTGTCCATCTTATGTCTTACTATTCTAACCATTTTTGTTACCACAAAGTAATGATCTCCAGCCACACAGAACAACTATACGAGGTTCCTGAAATAACAGGCTGCTTTGTATCTCTGTATCATTTGTTCTGTTAGCCTCTATCAAGAACATCTTGCCTGTAATCATATGCCATAAAAGCTCATGTCCTTTCAATTATTTATTAAAACAATACTTCCAGGACAGATACCATGGGCCAAGCTCAGTTAGTATTCAGTTTTGGTGTGATCTATTCTGAAGCATCTCTAGCACATCCTTTACTACCTGTTTCATTCCCTCTTACAGTAGGAAGCGAGATACTCAATTATCTTTATTTTTTAAATGTATTTTGTGTAGAATCTTCCCACAGCACTTGAGTAGCAATCTGTATTTTTCTTTTTATAATACACAACTCTCTGTTTGAACCATAAGCTTCTTGAAAGAATGGAGGCCTGTTTATATTAGAAAGAGTGAAATGTGTGAAAGACTGTTCATAGCCTTGGACCAATCTCTATTGCACTGAGACTCAACTTATTTATTTGCAAAATTTATTAAAAATATTAGATGGTGGGACTGGCAGATGGCACAACTTTTATGTAGATGAACCCCCACAGAGCTGACCATGGTTTGAATCCTGGACCCAGTGGCTTAAATAATACTCATGTTAGGCACATGTGCATGCATGCCCAAGATCCTGAGAGGAGAATGGATGATAAGGGATTGTGGTGTTGGCATTTTTGCCCTGGGTGGAGGGGGAAGTGATTTCCTACTTTTTATCTGTGTTTGTCTCTCTGACTCCAGAGAGCTCATATGCCCTATAGCAAAAATCACTCTCAAAAGAAAACAAAACACTAGATTGCTGGCTTTAAATAAAGTTTAAAGATAACATGTGTAAGATGTGTGTTTGTTGGCATGAAGCTAAGGTATGGTAGAGGTATTTAAACAAGAAAAAGTTTTGTTATTTCAATAGTGAGTTTGTTTCCTGAGAGTTTGGTATTATATAAACTATATAGTAAAACTCAATAAATACAGATTGTATAGGTGAATGAATATAATTATAATCAACATATGATATAATTAGTGGATTAAGAAAACACAAAAGCTTAAATGGAAATATTATTATTATTTTTTAAAGAATTATTTTATTTATTCATTTATTTATTTAAATTTGATCAGAGAGGGAGAGAGAGAGAGAGGGAAAGCAAGCCACCAGGTCCGGAACCGTTGTCAGTCATGTGGGAGTGTCCAGCATCTTAACCACCACGCCACCTGATGGTCCCAAATGGAAATTATTAAAAAGAGAAAAAATTTGCCAAATAAAATATATTAGTACAAAATTGGTAATTTCTAAATCACTGACATATATTTAAATGAATAAATGATTCTATTCACAAACTTAAAAAAATTAATTAAATTCAGAAATATTTTCATGAGAATTTATAGGAAAATGTCAACACATTATGGATTTAATAATAAAATGGAATGAGTAAATAGAAAAACATACACTCAAACAGGAAGATTAGACAAGTATTGTGACTGTCAGTTCTTCCCAATTCAATTTACTCATTTTCTGGTGAACCTCACCCACCCCCCCCAAAAAAAGTTTAAAACTCATTAAAAATTCTAATATAAGTGATATTGCATTCACTCAAAACTTGTATGAAGGTGAGAAAATGGGGAAAGAAGTGTAGTAGACCTCTTAATTATTAAAATTCAAGAAAAAATAAAGAAAGGAACTATGCTAATTAAAATAGAAAATATGGCAGCAACAGTAAATTTCTAGCATAGGAGAGTATAGATGAACATATAAGCCATTTTTGAGTCAGCAGGTGGCATGGTGGGTTATATGCTATATTCCCAGATGGTCAATCATGGCTTGAGTCCCAGAACCAGGGGCTTGCACACACATACACCTGGTGTGTGTACGTGTGTGCCCAAAATTCTGAGAGGAGAATGGAAGGGCAGAGATTGTGGGATGGCCATCTTTTCTTAGAGTTGATTTCTCACTTTCTCTCTACTATTTCTCTCTAGCGAGTGAATGTGCATTATAATAAAAACCTTAAAAAAGAAAAAGAAGAACATATAAACCATTTAGAGGAGAATTTTTAAATATATTTATATCAAATACAATTTCCAGTTACTGATTTATTTCCTAATAAAAACACAAATGTATTATTTTGATAAACTCTAGAAAAAACTATTTGAAAGGATTAGAAGTAATTTTATTAGTAGTCTCTCGTTAGTAACATTTGGAAAGATTTGATGTGCAATTACAGTATGTGTGTTGTCAGCCAGAGTACACCAGCACTTCTTATCTTCCTGGGGATCAATATCTTTATTTTTTTAAAAAAAGAATTATTTATTTTAATTTTATTTATTCATTTTATAAAATTTAATTGACCAGAGAGAGAGAGACACACACACACACACACACACACACAGAGAGCGAGAGAGAGAGAGAGAGAAGGAAAGTAAGAAAGCACATTACCAGGTCAGGGATTCGACCATGGTTAGCTATGAGGGAGTGTCCAGTGCCTTAACCACCATGACACCTGCTGGCCTTGTCAGAGAGTCAATAGCATAGG